TTTTTTTTTTTTTTTTTTTTTTTTTTTTTTGCAGGAAATGAAGCGCCGCGACATGTTTCAATGTCTTTTTTTTCTTAATTTTTAGTATTCTCGATTATTTTAGATGACAACCATTCTTTTTCTACTTTCAATGTTAATTTGATTGACAATTAGTATTTCTGCACCGAAGATAAATTCTTCTTTGTAGGAGTCCATTTAATTAATGTTTCTTTTAGTCTATTCTGATTTTTTTTTTCGGCAGAGAGTTGTTTGTGTTGATAAGCAGAACAAAAACTGCTGACATTAACATAGCTTTCTTTCTTTGTGACAACTGAGGTCAGAAAATTTGATTATTGCCGACTAATTTTGTTTAATTTTGAACTTTTTGAGCGATGGCAGACTCTATCTGGTGAATGGTCAAATGAATTTATGTTGAGAAGAAACCTTTAGATACATAGAAAACAGATTATTCTTAGATGGTGTGAAGAACAAATTCAGCAAGCTTGGTTTTTTTTATAAACAGTTTATTGTTTAGGTAAAGTCTTGTGTCGGAAGCGTTTTAACACTTAATTTACATTATGTTGTATTTGTGTTTGCTAAATGTTGATTAATTAGAAAGCAAATTGTTTTTATCTGTCAATGTATTGTTTTTATTGCTAAGGTGTTTATAATCTTGTTGAAAAAAAAAAGGATTATGTCGCACTGATGTTTGAAATATAATTATTCACACCTGTGACTTTTGAAGGGTAGTTTTTGAAGTTAAGTCAGAAATGCAGTTAGTCATTCTTTTTTGAATAACAAAACTACTGCATTTGTTTTGTATCTCATGTTACAAAAACCGTTTAAAATATGTAACAGTATGAAAAATTTGATGATTGCAGAAACTACCCAATAGCGGTGGAGGATTACTGAGAGTCAGTAAGATACTGGTTTATTCGGTTCATGAGTATCAGGAAAAATTTTTTCTCGTTGAACTGCTTGAGAAACTCAAAAAACATTTGACTTGAATTGTAGCAACAATTTAGCATCGGGTTGTAGAAAATTACGGCTACTTCTGTTTCCAGCAATAACGGCAACGAAGATAAGAGTAAAGGTTTAGTAGCACAATTGGTGCTGCAATTGAAGATAAAGTTGACGTAAGTTCAGTACTTTTAGAGCTGCTGGAAGAGGACTGGAATAAGTCCCGTTGTTGTAAAATTTGTATACATTTGTTTATCTGTACACTATTTGATTTTTGTGATAGATGTGTTAAGTGAATAAAGATTTATTATGTTTTCATGACTGCAGTACATAACAATTAAACTTCGTTATGCATATAATCGTTCTGATCACGCTGCAGTTAAGAGTGCTTCTGTCGCAGCAATAATTTTGATTTTTTGATTATATTTCAATTTGAAAGATAAATGATTAGCAAAATGAGGTACTATCAGGGAAAAAACCGAGACAATGACAGCTGTATATATGTATGCTCAACAAAGAAATATTGTCATTGAAATCAAGAAAATTATTTAAAATAGTTTACAGACCTTTTTTACGACTAAAAAAAAAAGTACTGTAACCAATTAAATAGTGATTGGTAAAAAGAAAACACAAGACGTTAGTTTCTTTCTTTTTTTTTGCAATTTGAAAAATAAACTAATTAGGGAAAAAGTTGCTTTGATAGCAAAACCCGTTAATCTTTTTTTCAATTCTTGCAACTAACTAAAATGTACCGACAAATTTAGTGCTGCTAACTGGAAATAAAAAAAAGTAAAAAAGAAAAAATGATTATTGTGAAATAATAAAAGCAATAAGGTGTTTATTGACAACCAAATGCATAAAACATTATGTTTGATCAGAAAAACAGGGAAGGAAACGATATTGCTGCCCAGGTGATAAGAAGAGTTTATTTGCTCCTTTTACAAACTGTGATGTTCAGTTCAACAAAGGATGCTCCTACCGCTTAGTTTGCTAATATTTCTTGAACTGCCGTTGATTGCTGCCAGCAGTCATGGTCATCGATTCAGACGGCAAATGAAAGAGTCAAACGATGCTACTGCTGAGGAAGAACGAGAAGTGTTATCATCGTTAATCAGCGAATTTATGGTGGATTCAAAGTCACAACTTGTTGTAGACATGGATTTGTTTTGGGACATTTATGCATATGGTCCTTCAAAAATGCTTAATTCATTAAATAGCGGCAACGAGTCGTTTTCATTGCAGCTCTTAGACTACTTAAACCAGTTAAAGGTTTCAATTTTTGAAAGCTTGTGTTTATCTTCACGTAATGTACAGCCTGTACAGCTTACTGACTAACAATAAATCAACCTAGGCTTAAATCTGCTAGTTCTTCAATAAAACTTTCTTCTAAATACGTTATTTTTTTAATCAAGTTTTTGGAATTGCTGTATCTTTTATAAATCTATTTTATCTCTATACGACAACGCCGAGAAAAACGAAGTCAGTGGTCACTTAGCACTTGAAACAGAGTAACTGCGCGAATTACATAACATGTGAAGTGAACAACAGATTAATACAGTTTCACTCTTAACTTATATTAATACACAGCTTAAAACTTTTTCTTATTTATATTTCTAACAAATCTTTTGCTTTTTATGTTTGAAAATTTTTACCAACTTTTTAAAAATTAACTTTTATCGTTATTTATTTATATTTTGAGCTGTAAATTGACTGGCCAGTGCGGCACTATGAAAAATAATAAAGCTTCGTTCGAAAGCGAGGAAATAAATGTTTTAATTTGCTTCAATAATCTTTTAAATATTTATTTTTGGTTTTTAGATGTGTTTACAAAATTATAAATGGTGCTCTTTTAAAGCAATAATTAAACCTACAGTTAAATTGAATTAAATTTGTAATACAGATCATTTTTGACTAGTTAATCTTTTATTCCCGGCACAGTAATCTGTAATTTCAGTGTTAAATTATTGGTTTTTTTGCTTTAGGAATATGATGTATCGGCTCCATGTTTAACAGATATCGCACACTTTTTGTGGTCATCGATACAGTATGTTCGATGGTTGAATGATTTATCATGTCAAAATTGTTCCTGCAGTTTACGTTCACCAGCTGAACATCAATGGATCTTTAATGGTTTGATAAATTTTTTTGAGAATTTGCTTTTGCATTGCCAAAGAAAGTTTAATTATTAAATCTTCCTATTCTTAAATCTTTGCTTAAAGAAATAATATTTTTTTCTGCAATGTTCGGCGGTTTATAAACAGAAAAAAAAAACAGATAAGCAAGCGCTTGTTTTGATAAAGTGTCATTGACATAAACTTGCACATCTTTGCTTTCTGACGACGTTGTTTTAGTGATTGACGCTTTCGGGAAACCACCGCCTGGTGTACTGGGTGGAAATAATCTGTGGATTGGTTCGTGGAGCGAATGCAGAAAAATCAGCGTAATTAAAAATCGTCAAGGGTTAATTTTCCTTTTCTGTTTTGCTACAGCAACTTTTTTGTTAAACTAGACGTCAATAAAACAGAGATTTCAAATTATTTTTAGAAGATTAAAATTTTGTTTAAAAAAAAGAGACTGTTGCTAAAACTTTGGAAAGTACTCGAAAAGTACCAAGGTTCTTAGTGGCACTGCTTAGTGTATATTTAGAAGCAATGTCTTAAAATTTTTTTAAGTTGTTGTAACAGTGTAACGCAAAAGCTTTTTTAAATGATTTAGTGATCTGTCTTCGGCTTTATATTCATTGTCGTTACACATATCACGACCAGACTGGATTTTTAGCTGAAATTTTATAGATTTAATAAAATAATACTATCACTTAAATAATATCTAGATGAAGTACTAATACTATTAACAGGTGGTTTGAGAATAAAATGAAGAACTCTTTGAAAATTTTCTGACTGCGATGCCACTAGTGTTTCATATTTCGCACAGGGTTTATTAGATAGAACAGAAATTACTCCTTAGCATATTTTTTACAACGCTGCAGCGTTTTCGTTGTTCTTTACCAAAAAAATAGCCTTTCTTCATCTTAAATTAGAAGAATTACTGTTTTTATTTGCGGCCATTAAATTTAAGGCAAAAATGGTCTGGACAGTACTGTATGGCAAAGTTTTATCCCTACAACCGGGATAATCCGCTGAAAAAAATTGGTTCAGATAACAATCCAAATTTCGCCGAACAGTGTCGGTAAGTCAAAGTGTCAATGTGCTTTATTTCGCTCATTTATAGCAGGTAAATTTAATCACTTCAACTAACATACTCAGACTTTTTAAATATCGCCAAACTAAATAAGACAGTACTTGTATATCAGAACTTTTTGCTATATTAGCCGCTTATGTATTAAAAATGTTAGAAATCTTGCTGACGACGGTGTAGGCGAAAGCTCAGAAGAAATTGACGATGGCAAATGCTTTGAACTGTTACCACTGCTAAACTATGGGATTTGTACTCCTGATTCCTGTACAACTTATGACGTTGAAAAGATTATCAGTCTTCGTAAGCTTTAAACTAGTGCCTACTTTTGTTAATTAAGAAATACTATTTTCAAAACAATCAGAGCCTGGTAACCTAGCAGACAGCTAACTAATAATTACTTTATC